TTATGGGGTATTTAGTTTTACACATATTTGACAAATATATAGAATTTTTTTAACTCCCTACTATAGTTTTTCGTTATTACAACCTTAATTTATGTAACTTAACTGCTGAGCCTCATTGTACTTTCATTCATATTTCAAATTGTCACTCTTGTATAAAATAGAGAAAAACAGAATCCCTAAAGAAAGCCCAACAAGACAAAAATGAAAATGTTGCAGGCTCGGTTTGATTGAGCCTGTTCATGGACGGTAATGGAAAGTGCAAGTTACCGCCCACGCCCCTTAGCACCGGCTTAAGCAGAATTCAACATTTAACATGAACTGGTACAATTTTGAATTTTGAAACATCCGCAGATGTGTTCATATGGCGGTTATCATTGAACCTTCAATGTGAACTATTTACAATATAGGCCAGGCATTTTAGCCAAAAAATAGACTCAACCTTAAACAAATTCCTTCATAAAAGATAATTTCATATTTGTAATCTACAATATATGTGTTACTACAGAAAAAAGTCCTCATAAAAATTTGAAGTATAAGTTGCTCAAAATGCCATGTTTTTAAATTTTTAAATTTGTAAAATCTATGAAATAAGACTTAGTAGTTTTATGGATATTGTGGTCATTTATAGTTAAATAAAGTAACACATTTGTACACGTACATGCTTTTATTTAAAATAAAACATTTAAAATAAAGTTAATAATATTACAAAAGTTGCAACAATGAATAAATCATATATTTGTCATTCAGACTAGTATAAAGTAATACCCTACCCACTAATGATAAAATTATTTTTTAAAGAATTTTTGTAAGGTACCATGAAATAATCTATAAATAAGCAGTATAATTCACCAAGATGTCTGAAACATTCTTCAATGATTCTATAGTTAATAATTTCAATATATTATACATGTGTGAAACAACAGGTCTGTTTTGTTGCTATTTTTTTACAAAATGCATTTACGTACTCAAATGCCGATATATCACTATTCCTTTTTAATAACATTTTAAAGAGTGCACATTAATAACTTTTAAATGTACAAACATTCATTACAACACACATTTATAACTTTTAAATGTACAAATGTTCATAACAAAAATCATTACATTATAGAAGTGATACATTACGATGATTACCAACTCTTCTTTCCCTAATATAGTCAAAATTGTACAGTGCATAAAATGTGACTGGAAATGCATAAAATGTGACTGAAAAAAAAAGCAAAATATACAACTGTTGTTAATACTTGTCTAGTATTCCTAATCGGAAATGCCTGATTTATTCACTCAGATTACTCAGAATTCATCTAAGTCTCTTCCGTAGTCTGACTTTCGTAGTCAATAGTATGCGAATTACTACAGCCAGTACCCTGGTATTCTGAACAACACATAGAGCATGATAGTCCATGTTTTCTGCATGTGCACCTTTTGGTATCACAGTTGACCCTGCATGAACATCTTATAACTTTTAGAAGTCTTTCTGGAGCAACAGGCATTAATGTTTGGATAGGAATCAGTCTTGAATCCAAGCTATTCTTAGCCCATCCCCAAAACAAAACACTTATGTCTCTTCCGATCCAATTCTGAACTTGCAAGTAAACTCGAAAACTATGGAACTTTGCGGCTGCTTTTGTAGGTGGCAATGTTTGAACTTGAACCATAACATGAATAAAGAGTAAACGTTTGCACGTATCACTACCAAGGACTGCTTTTGTTTTCTTGATGTCCCAAATCTTCTTCGTCTTAATGTTGGTCTTCGTGTCGGATCTGTAAAATATGTTTTCCACAGTGTTTCCAGTGTTTGCTTTATGAATAAATCTTTTATACCTGAGGGTATCTAATCCTTCACCAAATATTCCGTTATATATACATATCAATGCTTGTTCTCCAGCTGCTTCTATTTCATCATGGGTAGAATTAGCATGAAATATATCTGCTTGCCTTTGGAAATGAGCATCAGTGATTGCTTTTTTCAACACCACAGTTTTTCCAATGCCGTACAACCTCGAAGTGGTATCGCACCCAGAAAAAGCATGAATAAAGAGTAAACGTTTGCACGTATCACTACCAAGGACTGCTTTTGTTTTCTTGATGTCCCGAATCTTCTTCTTCTTAATGTTGGTCTTCGTGTCGGATCTGTAAAATATGTTTTCTTTGGAAGTATCAGCATGATAGCATAGCAGAACCAATATATCTGTATCTTCACCTATAACTACTGTCGTTTTGTCATTTGCTTTCATAATTGCAGTCTGAACGATTTGAAGATCTGCATCCTCTGAGGCATTTGATACATGACATTTCCTGTCTGTTAGATACGTCCCTAATAAGTTGATGAAATTCTGTTTGTTTTCATAATTAGAGAAGAATATTTCTTTTTTGGTTTTGAAAGGTGTTCTTGCATCAAAGTTGACCTTTGTGCCAATTACTCCTTTTCTCCGGCGTTCATGTGTCACATATTTAGTAGAAGGACCGTTTACGTAGCCATCAAATACAATGTAAGCACAGCCATAATGTAGTTGCACCATTGTTGCATATTAGATTACAAATATCATGAAAAGTCGATCCATATCTCCAAGGTAACCTCTGTACTAACGACCCTCCGTCCAGGACGTAACATACATCGTCATTTGGCACTAATCTTGTGTTGCTCCGCATTGTCCGAGTTCCCAAATTGCGTTAGCTAACGCTGGCTTTTGTGCCTCTCGCAATAGACCGGATGAGTCAAATAGTGAAGACGGATGACCACAAAGCTCATAGGAAAATACTTATTCAATTCTGTCCACTGAATCATCAGCAACTGTCAATAACCGCTGGAATAATAATTGTGGGTCAACATGCATATCTTCTCCACCAACTTTTATACTGTTTTTTGTACCAAGTGTAATGGCCTGTCGGTTTATTTTGAAGGTATATTCTTGAACATTCTTTCCTGTCATTTCTTCTAAAATCCTTTGCCCAATATCTACGGCTCGGTCGACATTAGCACTAGCCTCAGCAACAGCTCCAGTTTCAATATTTCGTAAACACTGTTGATTCGAAAAAGGGTTGCGTTCTTTTAGAAATTCTAAGAATATTCTTCTATCCTTTTCATCTCTGCTTATCCTAGCTTCAGTACAATCTTTATGTTGTTCATTGCTTTCATACTTTTGCCCCGTGAAGTCTTGCATTGCGTTGTTGATGTCAGCACATGCAGGCATTGTAAGGAGCCACTGTGCTCTCTGAGCCTCTGTCATACCTCGACCTATCGCGATACCTCCAACTGACTTAACACTTCTCATCAGTACTTGTTCAATGATAAGGTCTGACGATAATCCTGCCCAGTATCTATCACTTCGTCTAATCACATGGTGTCCTTCACAAAAGGCTTGATATACATTTGGATGTGTATGTTTCAGGTCAAACATATCTTGAAGGTACACGTATCCAGATTTCAGGTACAAATTATGTCCTGATGCAGCAAAGAAGGGTAACATTTTCTGCATCGATTCACAGTGGTTATTCCATAAACCCATTCTTTCTGCAGCAATAAATTTCTTTAAAATGGCAATCATATCCATATATTGTAACCATAGCCTTGCAGTTCTGTTTTCAATAGCAAGCCTACATTTGGCATTTTTTTAAACATTAGGTTCATCTCCAAAACAGTTGTGTCCACACTTATTTCTTCCAGATTTATCTGATTGGCTAAGATACCTTCAAAGATATTTGTTACATGCTTAGTGTCACTTACTTGGATATTTTTGTATTCAGGGTCAGCTGTTACACATTTATCATTATTGTTTAGGTCTGTATCTGTTATGAACAGTGTTGGAAAGATTTTCTCTACCAGTATGATATTCAAAGCATCATCAACAACAAAGTGTCCTCTGATTGATCTACTAACTGCCTTTCCACTTAGCATGTTTCCCACCGTATTAGGAGCATAGACTGTTGCTAATAGCTCCGCTAGTCCTGTGTTTTCCATTAGTCGGCCTATACTCCCAAGAAAGCTCATTTGTGTATGGAAAGCCCCAAGTCTCACAATAACATGTTTAATGTCACTTCCTTCAGGCTCATTCGTGATGATATTCAACGCCTTCCAATATAATGGCTGGTCAAATGTAACTATAGGTGCTGAATTAACACGGCTACTCTGCAATGCCACAAATTTCAAAGTTGAATAGACACATGCCATGTCACTTGGATTGAGATCTATCATAGGCATCATCACAGCACTTGATTGACCCGGATATGACCCTGTTCTTACCATCTGCATAAGTCCTGACCAGGTAGGTGCCTGCATTTTTAGAGGACGTTCAACTTTTATCACAAAATCAAGAGACTCAAACGGTTCATTTATTATTTCGGCCATCTTTTTAAACACCATTCTTTCCATATTGTTACTTTGCTGCCTGTAGAAATGAATATTAATTTTTCCTATTTCAACAAGATCATCATTTGTAATCAGACATCTTGGAATAATTTTTTTCTGTTCTAACTTTGGGGTAACTGCAGCCACGATACCCATCCCATGAAATGTCCCATGTCCGTCAAGTGTTCCAGTGTTATGGTCAACGTTGTCTGTGACAAACTGTATAAACTGATCGTTCATTTTATCTATTTGTGTTCCATGAGATGAAGCTGAAGACCGTTCAAATCTTTGAACTTCTTGATAGGTAGAACAGAAACCAAGACTACTCAACGTGTCAATCAAAAATCTTGAACCAAACTGGTGGTGCATTTGTACTCCTAATCCAATCTGGAGGGGACAAATAATTCCACGGGGTCTTGACTATTGAACAATTGCCTGTCCTATTGATAACGTCTTCTACTCATATGATTTATTATCAATGATAAGCTTTAAAAACAACTCCAGACTATTTGGAACATACTGTCTGTTTTTGTCCTTGCTCATTATATCGGATGAAGTTGGATATTATTCAATACTCTTTTCTATTGATTTTATGTCATTAAGAATAAGCTTAGCAGCTGTTTCTATAATCGCCCTTGTTTCTGACTCACAGTCATTGTTCTCGTTTCTGTGATAGATAGAAAGAATGAAGAATACCATGAGCGTTACTTTTAAATGTCACAACACTTGGTTTCCCATTTAATTCAGATATCATGATACTATCTCCAAAATGTTCTAGAAGTTTCTTCTTCATGTAAACGCTACTATAGGCATCTGTACCACAAAGTTTTTCCATCTCATTAACAAGGTCAGACAAAGACATTTGTTTATTAGCATTACTCTCAAAATATTTGATAACTTCAGAAAATGCATAATCAGCAAGTACATTTGTAGGTCTACCTTTCTTACATTTGCTTGGTTCTAGAAGCTCCTGCTTACATACAGGAATATTACATCCTGACCTAAAATTAGCACAACATGTCTGATGGTACCTTGCCTCAACAGCCGGGAGATCCTGTGCAAACTCAATGCGCCCCAATACAATTTTACCCCACTCATCACATCGTTTTTTACAAATATCTTTAATACTAGACTGAAATTCTAAAGTTCTAAGAGGAAACACACCATAACCCTTTTTACGGTCTTTGAACTTTGCATTGCTGCCACAAAACAAACAGTTAGTTTGAAAGTCAAAGCGACTTTTACAAGATTGTCTTGTACTTGGGCTTGATATCTGATTTTCGTTGCATTGTACGGTTCGCTGACTGTTCGGGTGGCAATATTTTCTTCTGCATTCTTGATGTACAACCATCCCAGGAACTACGTTTAGCTCATCTCCTGAAGATAAGATATAAAGGAATTCTCTAAACTAAAAGAAACAGTATTTAGTATTGCGATATTTACTATTTCTAAATATCAACCATTAAATCAGTATCATTGCATCCTTTGTTTGGTAAATATTTGCAAGCTGTTGTCTCGTTTTGGAAAATTTACTACACGTATTTATTTAGATACTATTGAATTACATATAACATGTGCACATGTGTCATACATTTCTGTCTTATATTCATATATTATTTAGAAAAATGAGAATTAGTGATCAACCATAACATAAGCTTAATCGGATTGACCCTGCAACAGTGTGTTTGTCCCCATGTAATGCATCCCGTTGTTTCTCTAATTAATTCGTATTTTTTTTAGTTCAGTTACCTCTCAGTTTACTTGCTGTCATTAACCCTTCACACCCTTTCTCCCTCAGTGTTGATGTTTCGCCACCATCTGCCTTGTTACAAAGGACACAAAGATCTGTCCCTTCAATGCTGAAATAATAACAGTGCAAAAGGTTAATTTACTCAAGGCAGACATTAAACGAAAATAATCAGCTTTGACACTGAAAGGGGTACAATGATTAGATATTAAACAAGTTTTCAAATATCAAAAATAATGCATTATTATATATTTTGGAGATTTAAAATAATGTTTTAAAATAAAATACCAAACAACTATTTTCTTACCTCATTTTACGTACTCTTGGTTAATGTCACATTCACGTCATTAACATATGTAGGTATGACTGATAACTGAAATATAAAGTTAAATGTATTTACTATAATAATTTTTTGTATGTACTATCCACAACATTTTTATCAATCGCATTTGAGAATGTTCAAATATTACCTCGTTTGATACAATAAAAATAAAAATTTGCAAATCGATATCAACATAATGTTCCTATAATATGAACTTTTTTTTAAAAAAAAGCATAAAAAAGAATGAATAATATAGAATCAATTACCATCAAATATATAACTTGCAATTTTCTTCTTCTTAGTTTACCATTTTAGCTTGATTAGCACCATGCATGCCCACGTTATCTGTTTTATGCTGAAATATAAACATGATGTATAAAAGACAACCCTAAGTTATTACAAAATACATTTTTCACAAGAAGTAAACATTTTAAATAATTTATTTTGCTTTATCTACAATTATAACGTGTCAACTCCTTGAAATATGAGGAAAAAAAATAAATAAATAAACAACACTTTTCGTGATTTTGACCACAACGCGCTTCCGTACAATAAAAAATTCGAGAAGGGTTATATATATACAAATTTCTATATAAATCGGCAATATTTTAAGCAAATTCCTATGTGATTTTAAATAACTCTTCGATAGAAAACATTCTGCAACAATAATCAAATGATAAATAAATGTTTAATACTTATTTAAACAAAAATTCAGATTAAAATCGCGAAATTGTATTACACGTTTTGTCATCTGCAAAATAGCAATTATTTTCGTATATATACATCATTTTCCGCTGGAAATATACATATTTGACTATAAAAATGACTAAAATTTCTTACCTTTGCATAAGAAAGCCTGGAATTGTAGTTATTTCTGATATTTTACCGAAAACATAAACAACCTTGAACGTTGACATCGACACCGGTAACGACCGGAAGTACATAGAATAAAAATATGGTGTACTGTAAGAGACACGATTTAGTTGTGACTTTTACTTAACTTTGAGATTGATTTTCAAGGACTGTGCAAGGAATTTTTTTGAGGACTTTTTTCTCAAAATGTAGATACCATATATAATTAATTTAAGCACAAAAACATTTGTGAAGGAATTAGTTTTACCAGAATTGTTATTATGACTGGCCTGATACGATTCTTCCATAGTAACCGATGTTGCATTTCGCGCATGCGCATTCTGCGTAGGGCAAAAGCGCAGTAAAATTGAGAACAGTGTATGACACTTTTAGGCTTTAATAGTCGTGATTCCATGTTATGTCAACCAGAAGGTAGCCTATAACTTAAAGCGGTAAGTACTTAAAACGTTAGTTGATATTTATAACAGATATAATAAATATGCGGGAATTATAATCCAATGGTCAAAAGGCGCACACAAAAGTCGTCTGTTTAAGGTACTATTAGACGTCATTTTCATCAGTTATTCAAATCTAAACAGCAGCGTGTTAAAGATTAAATTTCATTACCCCTGTATAACATAATATTACACAATGTGTATTGTACACTTCCTTTTGGATTGGCCAGGCGGTAAGTGTCTAACAGATTGACACTCGACACGGTTGTTTGTTTCCAGCTATAATATTATTCAACCGAGACGTTTCAGTACCATGACATAATTAATCACATACAATTATGAAAATCGTTATTTAAGTAACTTTGATATAAACTGATCTCATCAATGTTTAGTGATTTTGAGAAGTGACAATTAGTGTGACTTGCATTAAAAATATTTACATGTGTTACGAGGAACCGGATTAAATGTGTGTTATTTCACTTTCCTTAAAGATTTTGAAAAAAAAAATAACTATTTAAAATATATTTATGTGACTTAAATATTATCTGCTTTGCATTACAGTCAAATAATGATGAAATCAGGTAAACTGAACACTAAAAATGCATTATCACCGTGTCTGTTCTGACTTTTTTCAGATGGATAATTAACGTCGATTTCATATGTTATAAAATTTCTTTTATCTTTTTTATGAACCATTTCAACAACAATTTAGTTGACTCCCATTTGAATAATAGATATAATTCCACATTTTCTTAAAAAAATCTCAATGTCAGGTCCGTGACCGTAAGGGAAATTCTTAAACAATTTCCTTTTCCATGCCTTTGTATCGCAATTTTGGCCACAAAGCTATAAAGGAATCTTTTCTATTTTTGTTAAAAGCTTATTTACATAATTTTCTACCTTTTACCTTTAACTAACTCGGAATTGTCTATGGACTTCTTCTATATTTCTATGTTATGCTGTGCATTTTTTTGCCCTTCGCAGATTGTGCATGCGCGGGAAAATACATGTACTACTTCCGATCGATTTTTCATAGCAACGGACCGCGTCGTATATGAAATGACTGAATAATAATTTTAGTTTTGACTTTAACTAATTAATATGAAATTTACAGATAAAAGGCTTCCGATAAATCATATGAATTTTACCGTCTTATTTACAATGAAAAAAAATATCACAAAGTTGCCAGGTTTTCTTATTGTAAAATGACTGTTTTTCTTTCGACAATTATTATCATGCCTTGTGATGAAAGAAAAAACAATAGACGATTTATGCTTAGTTGTTACGATACTGTTTCATTTAAAGATTATGTTAATTTGTTTTTTTTTCTTTACCAATAGCTTACGAAACAGTGCGGAAGACCAGTTAATGAAGATTTGATGTAAACAAACCTAAAAATGTTACTTTTTGGTAAGATGTTAATTTTATCTTATAACAGTTCGTTAAAAGAATTTCAAATGATAGAGCTAGTAAAAAGAATATTATGATTATATCAATAGTTAAATAATAATGTTGATAAAGCAATACATTTAAATAATGTCATATACATTGTAAGTTTTAATGAATTTCATAAAGCGACGTATTTAATAAATATCCTGTAGTGACAGTTTTAATGAATATTTTATCGATATTTAAAGAATTAAATCATTTACATAGCTGTACCTTTAATGAATGTTATGTAGATATATTTTAATGAATTTCATACGTTGATACTAAATGAATATCATATAACTATTTCGTTGACGAATGTTATGTAGCAATACTTCCAGTGAATGTCGAACAGCGACACCTAGAACATAAAATTCAAAATCATGCATCAATACATTTATAAACTATTTCAGAAAACATATACTAGAAAAACCAATACTGAATAGTTTGCAATAATGAGGATTTTACATTTCATAACGTTTTATAACGATCAATGCTCACATTTTTTTCTTATTTTCAGGAACTACATTTTTTATCTTCATTATGTTACTGAATATATTTCATGAAGGTTTGTTATTGATTTACTCCATGATACTTTTGATTGATTTCAATCAGTTCTAATTTTTAAGTATATGCTAGTGATTATTAACTGAAATATCAATAATTAAGAACCCAAAAGGAAGCAACCGTTATGGAAGGGCAAAACATATTCTTTGTCACAATTTTAACAGCCTTGCTCAATCAGGAACAAAACTTATGTCTTAATTGTGTTACGAGCCAGGCGTAACGAGAAAGAAAAGCCAGCAACAAACTTGTTACAATAACAAATTTATTACAGAAAAATTATTAAAGAAAAATTAAAGAACAATTTATGTTTACAAATACCTGAAGTCCAAATAAAAAGATAAAATTTCAAATGTCTTATCTGATCCTGGAATGATCCTTTTTTGAATTGCACAGTTAAATCCAATTAAAATCCAAGAACACTTTAGAATAAATTCCCAAAATAAATCCACAAGAATAATTTTTACTATTTTAAAAATAATCCCAAGCTCCAATAAATCACTTAATATCCAAAAATAAATAATACTCCAAATATATTGATGACTTTAAAAGGTAACTGATGACTTTAAAAGATCTACCTGATGACTTCTAAAAGGTAAGATATGAAAAATATCCCCGTATATATATATATAAACTAGGAACATTCCCAGAGAAAGTCTATTATGTTCTATGAGTAAATCATAATCTAGCAGTTTCAACAATAAAGATCATTCCGGAAATTTCTATCTAATATAATGCATGAAAGTCATAATCTGCCCCATTTCCAGCAATTAGTTAAGAAAGTTCTTAGGTACAATGCCCCCTGTCTTTATGTTTCCAAAAATAAGACAATATAATACTATATAACACTTTAAATTATGTTGCCATGACATATACCCCTATTCCCCTCTTCCATGAAAAAAGAAATATGTAATGAAATGAATATTCTTTTACATAAAAACTTTACAAAAGTAACTTATGAAAAACTTTGGAGAAATTTTTAAAAAATTTTTATAAAATCATAATTAATTACCCGTTTAAAAATAAAACATTAAACAAAAACAAAAAGGGTTTAAAATTAAATTCAACAATAGCAAAAAACACAAGTAAATTAAAAAAAATCGATTTTTAACCCCATGCTAAAAGTAAAAAACTGAAAATATCATTTTAAGACCCCCGACAAAAGTTTCATCGGGGATCAAATTATCTTTCCCTTTAATGTGTGTCTAATGTCAAGATTATATTCTTGCAAAAAACAACTCCACCTCAACAACCCTTGATTTTTTTTTTTAAGTTTTTATGCAAGAAAGTCAGGGGATTGTGATCACTTAAAGACAACAATAGGCAACTTTGAAGAAGTTAGATAAACTTCAAAACTGCTGAAATAGCAAGAATAAGAGCAAGGCACTCTTCTCTCTATAGTATAGTAATTTTGTGATATTCATTAAACTTTTTAGAAAAGTAACAAACAGGATGGTCAACACCATTGTTGTCTTCTTGGATCAATACACTTCCAGCACCTATGTCACTAGCATCTACAGCTAACATTAAAGTTTTTATTAAAATCTGGTGAAGAGAACTGGTGCACCTTCTACATGTATCGCTTTAAGACCTGTCGATGCTAATTCTGACCACTCTGTCATTCCACACACTCTAATTGTTTCTCTTTCTTTAGCTAAACTCTGTCACATGGCTTCTGCGCAATCACCGCA